TTGTAGAGGGAGCCGACAGCCCCCCTAAGTCAGCGCGCGCCCCCCACAACGCTCAGATGGAGCACTGAACTCCAGATGACGGGAGGGAAAGCTTTGCAGCTGGTTTGGTGAATAATAAGGCACTAAATGGCAAAGAAAGAGTGAGATAGATTGATGACGAGCAGGAGTGAGAGCAAGACAAATGCGAGGAAAAGGGAACTTTTTTTTTTTAACCTTCTAATCTTTTTGGAGGACAAGTTTTAGGAAGGAGAATGATGCCATAGTGAAAAATTAACAGCATACTTAATGCTTCTGCCTGAGAGAGCGACAGCAAGTAGTCGCCCTGATTTACATGTGCTTGCAATCAGTGCAGTGTTTAACTTGGCTGTTAGATCTGCATCCTTTTCGTGTGTTGTATGCAAGAGGAGAGATTTGTGATGAATGATTTTGGAGGATTAACTTCTGGTTGAGTAGGACTGGAATCCAACAGGTGACACTAATTAATTAAAAGCTGTATGGTTTGTGTAAGTGTGGTATGGGGAGGCAATCTTCTCTTACACTAAATCACTCGTGGGCTCTTCTCTCTCAACATGAGTCAGTGTGAGGTCGGTTTAATCCCACTTCATATCTAACCGTTCCAGTTGGCTGAAATCCTACAGACATGAAAACTGAGATTATTCAAACCAATAGCGTTGTAGACAAAAAGTGGCCTGACTTTGTTATACTTTCCCCTCATTTCAAATAGAACTTTACGGATACTCAAGTCTTTAAAGGGGGTATTGTGTGTTTATATAGTTAATAAACTGTGGTGTCAGATTAGTAGTAATGTAGTTTATTCTCTGGTAGCTTGGTGGTCGTTTGCTGTTATTAGATGTGGTTGAGTGCAGCCTCTTCAGAAAGACTTGAGATGCTTTACTAAAACCTGCTGTGGCATTAACTTTGAGCTAAAGGATAGTCCTCTTAAAGCTCATTCAAACCCATAGAAAATAAGGTAACTGATATTAGAGTGAACCAATAAAGCATTTGATTTATATTGCCACAGGGTGGAGTCCGGATTTGTATTCCTCGTTGAGACGTCGGCACATCTTTCTTTCCTACGTCTGGTTTTGATTATTAGGGCCATCCATGCATGTGGAAAAGTGTAGTGGCTTGATTCAGATGATTATTAGCGCCTGCAATTGTCAGCCAACTCTTGTTATGCAGCTTATTCAGATGTGGTGAAATGTAAATTCTCAGGAAATTGACTTTTATTTTGTTGAAACAGTTGCTCAATGTTGCTGAAAATTAAAAAAATTAAAAATTGGACTCTGGTGACAGAGTTGGATAATCAAAGCTTTGGTTATCCACATTAAAGGTGTCATTTTGAGTCCACCATCATTTTATTGTACCGTCTATTCGCAGTCGGTGCAAATAAGGTCTTGGAAAAAAAACAAGAGAATAAGACAATGGCTAACTTCCAATATCAATGTTTATATTTTCCTGCAATCCAAGAATTGATAGAATGCAAAGTGTATTCATTCTTTGCTAAATAAGATAATACACAGCTCCTGATTACAGTATTAACTTAGGTAGAAATGAATTACACTTCTCATCAGTTTTGTATGATAATATGAGTTCCAGTACTACACAATAACAAGCTTTGGTTAATGTTGATGAAGCTGTGGCTTAAATAAGATGCAAGTTGGTGCTAGTTTTAATGATCTGTTTAAGCTTTTGGATTTTGTTCAGCTCTACTACATAATTCTTCCACTATCAGAATGCAAGCCTTAAATATTGATGGGTTAGCCTAGACTTACGATTTAAGTGATTCTTATATACTAAAAAGCTCCTTTTAACTTGACTGTGAGACCTCTTAAGAGCTTGGATGTACATAAAGACCTGCGGCCTCATCATAGACTCTGTGGAGGCAGAACTAGCAGTGGGCGCTTCAGGTGTTCACAACATGTCGTGATGTTTACTTGACCTACGAATGGCACGAAAGGCTTCTTTCTGCGTTTGCTTTGGTGGTGGGTTCAAATAGAAATGCAAAAGAGGGGAATTAATCACTCATGAAAATGATTTTTTTTCCCCGTCTATTTTGTACGGTCTGTGAAAATTCAACATTATCTCCTTGTTTTAAAAGATTTATATGCAAAAATGTTTTCAAGTTTTGACAATGTTCTTATGTAAAATAAAACCTATTTTGGTACCTCTCTTCTCCAACTGTGCTGCTTTGTGTGTGGATAGGATGTAGTACAGATGTACACCAGCAGGGGGAGCGCTAACTCCATGGATACTGAATGCGCTGGTCTTATATCTGAGACACGTGGATGGAAAGACAAAAGAAGATCAGTTTAATAAAGTTAAAGGGAAGAATAAACACCAACTTATGGACTCATTAAGATAGTCATGTGATGAGATGTTAAGGGTTGTGTAAAAACCAGGTGGTAAAGTACTCAGATCTTTTATTTAAGTTAAAACGGCAGTATAAAGATACTCAAGTGAAATATCTCTGCATTAAACATGGCATTGTGGCGTTCATCGGCTCTACAGCATTCAGGTAAAAGTACAAACGTATTAGAATCAAAGTATACTCGGTATGAAAACGTACTTGTTCATAAGGCCCACAAGTATTCTAATAATATATTATTGTATTTTAACTACTGATGCAGCCGGTACAGGATATATAACATGACAACATAATAGTTGACTTTAAAATCATGCTTGGGTACTGTACTTGCATAAAATGTGCTTAACATTCAAATCTAAACAAGGATTTGAAGAAAAGGACAGTGAAACCCAATGTTCCCATAGCTTTAAGGACACTTAAACTGATAATGAAAGGTTTGCTTTTGGTTTTGAATGTAGGCCAAACAAGTTTTCTAGATTTGTGGTGTAGAAGTTCTTTCCACTTGTTTATAAAGGGTGAAAAATGATCACAAGTTCAAAATCCTATGTGACACCATGAAACACTATCATTATACTCTACTGCATTTTTGGTCCAAAAACATTTGAAACACAATGTACATGTGTTGGCTTGTGACTTATTTAGATATACGAGTGCTTGTGGCGACAGAAGGAACATTTCCTGAATAACCATACACAATTTATCACACTCTCTGTTGTTCTAACCCACATCATGAGTTGCTAACATTAACAGAAATGTGTTTGTCAAGTCTGTAAAATGTTTATCCCAAGAGGCTGACTCCAAGCCTGAAGTCCTGTCCTCAGCACGGCCAGTCAGCTGCTCACAAAGGCTTTCCAGGAAGCACTCAGCGTTGTGTGTGAGTGCGTGTGACCACTGCCTGAATGACCATGAGGGATGGCTTCCTCTTATGACCTCCAGGCCTTAAACAGCCAAAACATCAGTACTCACTTTCAGAAGGAGGGTGTTTAGTCTAAACCACATCTGGTTTTTTCCTGATGTCAAAATGAGTGAGAAATACGATCTTAAAACATGTTTGTAAGTAAATAAACCTCGCTCATCCGCATCTTGTTGACCTAACTGAGGCTTTTCTGTGGATGTCTGGGTTCATTTTAAAGGGTGGTCTGATTTGATGTCAGGGGGTGCACTGCACACACACATCAAGTTTGAAGCCCCCGCCTCACAGGAAGTGGTGTCAAGGTCACGTTTGCTGCTTCCTTTGGATGAGCCAGCGCTTCTCTTTTCCTTCCTTTTGTCCCTGATCCTCAGATCCAGCTTGAACCTCCTCCCCTCGACTCCTCCCTGGATCTGTCCACCCCCACCCCGGAGACAGAAGGGTGCGGTGGTCTCTCACGTGTAGGCCTATAAATGTGATTCATCAGCTGGAGTCAGCACCAACATCAGTAGCTACTCTGTTTCGCAGTGTATCTCGCATTCCTATCCTGTGTGTGTGCAATACACTCACTCATTAAAAGAGCATTGGCGTTGTTATTTCTCAGCATGTTTCTCAGTACATTTCTGCGACCTTCAAGATGTAATTGGTAGCTATTATATTCTAGTCGGCTGTAAAAATGTAGGCCCTAAATGTAATGTTGTGTCTCATAAGTGTCATGTCTAAAGGTTTGGATGAACCTATTTGTGTTTTTCTTCTCGTTTGTTCTCCTGTTGCGAATTATCACTTCGTCTTCCGAGGGCTCATTCTCAATCTTACACACAAAGGTCAATGGACTCCTCCTTGAGGGTAATACTCAGCCTGTGAAACATTTGTATTTTGTCTTGAGTAGTTCTAAAAAGGGCTGTTCTGAGAAAAATACCCTGATTATGTCCTCAGGGTTACCTTGAGTTAAGACCTGGTCACACCGTGTAAAACTGGTCAATTTCTTGGTACATTTCGCAGGGGTGAAGTGAAGTCAACTGGTGAAATGGAGGACGGTAGCTGATTAGCAGTGTGTCATCCACCTTTATTTAACATAATCTATTGGAGTACAAACTGCTCGAAACAGAGATCTGCAGATGGTTTTAAAGACTGTCTGCAACAGTCGATAGAACATGTCTTTTGGAGAGCTGGAGTAAATGGCCCAGGAGAGACAAAACAGGAAGAAGCTTGGAGCTGATTGGAATGAATAGCTGGAGCATGTCTTGGCTGACTAGCGTGCTAGTATTAGCTTGCCAACTTGTTCATCACCTAACCACAAAGTTTAGAGTCATGAAGGATGTTTTAAATGCTAATGTAATAAAAAAAAACATCTGTACATTCAACATGAGTGTATTTCTCTGAATACACAGTAACTCTCTCAGACACTTTAACTTGGAGCATACCCAGTACTACAATTCCCTTTATACTCAGCCCCACAAGTTCCTCTGATTGACACAAGTTACCTGCATTAAGGCTTATCAGGGGATGTTTGTTTTACCTTTGCTGCTGCATTCACTTCTGATCCAAAGCTATAAAAAAAGTGTTTTGCAGTGAGTGTGCAGATGCTTTCAGTACGTTAGATAGCATAGCTCCCACAATGTAGCTAAGATACAGAGTGAGCTGTGTTCTTTATTTATTACTGTATTTGTTTCACGTAAGTATAAATATTAAAAAATTGATTTTTGTCTCAGTGTTATTTTATTTGTATAGGTAATCAGCAGCACAGTTACAGTAATATTGCTATAAGCGTGATAATGGTTGGTGATAGATGATCAACCTGATGGAACACATACATTAGCTGGCAGCTGGAGGAGATACAGCTCAGCAGGTAACCTGTCACTTGTTATTCCACACCAACTGAGGGGGCAACATCAAAGACAAGACAGCGACAGACACACACTTGACACGGAAAACATCGAGCAACTCAACCCCAATTTACTGGCATGGCCTTCAAGAAAGGGAAGTAAACTTTCAGATTGCAGCCTGTGATCTGTGTCAGTTTATTACTATATATGGTTATCCGTCAGCTTCATTGTGTGTTTATTCTGAAACTAATGCTTGAATCAGGAGAAATGAAGTTGTTATTAATAACTGCATTCTATATTTGTCCATCTTCACACTTAAGCAGGAACAAGCATTGCAAAGAAAATGAGTGATGTAATATGTGACAGTCACAGTGTATATTAACACTGCCTATCATTTTGTCTGGTTCATTTTAATACTTCAAATCTGTAGTCTGCTCCTCTCTACTCGTGTTCAAAAAGAGGATTTGGAGAACGTTTAAATGTTGTATTGAGCACTTGGAGGTCAGTAGGCAGTGTGAAGGCACAGAAGGTCAAAGAAAACTGAACACATCACTTTCAACACAAAAAGCGACTGTCTGTATTAAACAATCATAATTATCATGAACCTTTTACCGGAGAAACGTATTAGATAACACACAAGGACATAATATGCAATATCTGCAAAAATAACTATTTTACAGAGAAATTGATGTTGCACTGCCCTTGCTAAATCTTAATCTTAAAAATAAGCCAAATTAGATAAATCTCTTGAAGCATCATTTCACAATACAACTTGGAAACAAGACCGTTTTCAGACAAAGTACATCTGTCTCACAGTCACAAGTGTGATACATTTGAGTAATAACCTCAGAGTAGTATGTATGTATATGAACCACGATTAAAGTTTTTAACAAAGTAAGAGTTTATTGGAGGTGATGTTAGAGAGTCACAGAGCTATACTACACATCCTCTGTGTACATGTGTGTTTATCATTGAGTACTGCCTTTAGCTTTGTACGTCTCCCGATGCCGCATCAGATCTTCAATACGTATGTCCTTCAAGTGCACCAGATGCTCTAACCTGTTCACTTTCATCTGCAGGATCTACACACACACACACACACACACACACACACACACACACACACACACACAGTTGCAAAAAGGATGTGGTTAAACTACGTAAGCTTTATTTCTGAAGCTGTGAATTATCTAAATGATGAAAATTCCCTAAAGTTGTAAGGAAATGTAACAACTTTGTGTCATTTTTCTTTCTCAACATGCTGATGTGGCCACAGGCAGAAATGAAAAAAAAGTTATATCCGCTTAGCAGAAGCTGACTCAGTGAACACTGCTGACCACATATGTTTAACACACACACACACACACACACACACACACACACACACACACACACACACACACACACACACACACACACACACACACACACGTGACTGACTGTCAGAACGTCTGTAAAAAAATCTACTTCCGTTTTGATGCACCCTAGGGGTATAGCTGTGTCACACATTAATTATTGTTGCAGGTGTGTGTGTGTGTGTGTGTGTGTGTGTGTGTGTGTGTGTGTGTGTGTGTGTGTGTGTGTGTGTGTGTGGTGTGGTGTGTGTGTGTGTGTGTGTGTGTGTGTGTGTGTGTGTGTGTGTGTGTGTGTGTGTGTGTGTGTGTGTGTGTGTGTGTGTGTGTGTGTGTGTGTGTGTGTGTGTGTGTGTGTGTACCTCCACAGTCTCCTGCAAAGCCATGACATCTTTCTCTTTTTCCTGCAGGATTAGCCGTACAGAAGGTTCCATGTTTGGGTACAACTGTGCTGTGTTCTGTGGCTTACTGTAAAATACAAACCAAAACAATTATTATTATAAACCCTGCTTTTGATTAATTTAATACACATTAAAAGTAACTTTTAGTCATACCTGCCATTTTTTATTCTGCTCTTTTCCTCTTTTGTCATGGTATCTCGTGCCGGCTCAGCCCCACGTTCTGCTTCAGTCTGAGGACCTTCTGATGACAACAAAGTAAGTATTAATATAACATCGTACTATAATATGAACACAAAATGATGACTAACAACTGAGACCTAAAAGCATTCACCCATTAAATCTTATTGACACAAGCAGGGTGAAGGGAGGAGGAAAGAGAATGGCAAGATAAGAAGATGGAGAAAGAGAAAAATGAGGAGGCCTTTAAGTCCTCCAGTGCTGAGCTCAGGCCAGCAATAAAAGCCATCTGGTGATTCTGGGAGCTGATATGAGGTCCTGAGCTGTGTGACTGATAGCGGATGGGGTGTAGATGGAAGAGGAAAGAGCAGGGAGGAGGTGCTGGTCTGAGGTCAGCTGTACAGGGTTGTTTCAGGGACGGATGAGGTGTGGGAAACGGAGGAAAGACACGTCACCGATTCACTCCCTAAAGGTCGTGCCATTCTCTAATCAGTCCTGTGTGATGCCGTTAAATGTAGGCCGGTTTGTGTCTGTGTGCGGCCCTTGTTATCCGGGGGAGAGATTAGAATGAACTGAGTAGTTAGCAGGACACAATCGCTGATAATATCAGGGCAGGCGGGCAAAGAGAGGGCAGGAAGTAAAGAAAATATTGGAAATAACGTGATTTCAGATCAGATTTGGCTTCACAGCAGCTACTAAACAATCCTCTTAAGACAAAATAAAACGTCAGTGTGTCTCAAGTATTACGTTTTTGTATTTGTCAGCATACAGCACCTTTAAAATGTGTCTAAAGTTATCCCAACTTCCCATATTGGGATAAAAAAGGCACACTTTATACTGTGGAGCTTCAGTCATGCTTGCAGACTGTGCACTGTGTCAGCTAATACAGCCCACAAGAGACACTAACAGAGGGAAATATCATCAATCTCAGGTCGAAACTCAGTCATCACATTTATGTTAAATCAGCAATCTTTGTTTCTGTAATCCAGTTGATTTCCTATTTCACTGACTTATAGGAACACTTCTCCCCCACAATGACCCAATGATCGCTTCTTCTTCTGTGTTACCTCGGAATGTTGAAGAAATGTCTCCGCAGTGAACAAAAGATTAAAAAAACAACAACTTGTACAGTATGATCTGCTCCTATTGACTTACACTCATTATTTATTCCATTTCTTCGAGTCTTTGTTCACCATGCATGCAGAAAAACTGAGTTTCCTTGACGCATTCAAGGTAACAGTAACTTTACATAATCATTTTGGGGGTGTTGTATTTCTACAATTACAGTAACTTATTGTTCTATTTTCTGCAGATATGTTCAAAAGAAAAGTTTGATAAATGTGTGGAAGAAAGTTTGCGTAAAGGAATAAAAGCTGTCAGGATTTGTTTAAATGGTAAAACAAATGTACTACTCCACCTGTATTAAGTTTCTCCTGGTTTCTGGTGTCATAGTATTCCACATTCTGGTTTAAAAGAAAGACATGTTCAAAATGTGGTTATTTTCCAGCTACAATGGAAAAGAGAGGACCACAGTAATCCTTTATTCTGTAATAAGCACTCAAACAGGACGACTTATAGTATGTATGTCTCTTAGCACACATGCATAAACACACAGTACACACCAGTATATTCTCTGTAGTCTGCTCCAGTTTCTTGTCTATCTTCTCCCTGAGGGCGCTCAGTACCGGCTCTATTACTCCTGAAGTGCTCAGTACAATCTTCCTCACTGTCTCCTCAGGCACGTGGAAGTTCAGCTTGGAAAATACCTTCCTGTCCACAGAAACAAATACAACAACACATGTTTCTAATACAAATAATAAAGTAACTAATCACAATCTCCAAAACCAGTCCCATTAAGAACAGCAGTTTGAAAGTGATGATGCATTATTAAAACACTATGGGGGACAATTTGTTTACAGTGAAGACTCATAAATCTGTATCTGGCGCTGTGCCATATCGGCAGCCTGGGAGAGGATGAGTGGGAGTGGGTTGGATTGGTTCTCACGACCAGATGCAGCGAGACCCTTGGTAGTGCTTAGCAAAAGTTATTTCTCAGTGCTAAGCTTGTATAATTGAAAAGAAAAAGTCACTTGCTGTGTTAAGAGATTTCGTTATCAACTTTTTTAGTGTAGTAACTTTGTGCAAGAATGTTCTAGGGAGATGTGGACATATTGACAAAGCAACATTGTGAAAATGTAAATCTTTCCAGCTCAGGGGAAGTGACCATAATACAATAAGTTTCTATGCTTTTAGAAGTATGTCTGAAAACACTGATTGTCATTTAAAGTAAAAATAGACACCGAATAATTTATGTCTGCCTCTGTATCAACATTTTTGATGACTTTCTTTTGTTTATGAAATATGTAATTCATTAAAAGATGCTTGAGACAGTCAACCCATAGTACAACTTTGGGATTTGGCTCAATCTTAATAAAAACAACTCCATGATGTAACACAATCCTTAACCACTTACTGCATTTAGGAGATAAACTGAAGACTTGTTAAAAGTGATTTGAGAAGTTAAAATACCATGTCACGTCAACAAACACTTTGAATAAAGAAACAAACAGATAAATAAAGGTATCTGGTGTCTTGCCTGTTGAGAAGGATCCAGTTACCGAGCTTCTGCTGAGTGGAGTTTGCAGAGATGTAGTTGTGCGGGTCAACTAGCTTTGGGAAGAAATATTTGACAACCTCTGCAGCCATCACTACAGAGGGTTCATCAGAGAGTCAGTACATACATAAATATATATGAGCTGATAAGCTGCATTAATGTAAACAAGTAGCTGGAGACTTTGAAACACAATTTATACTCGGTCGTAGCCTATTTCTCCTGCCTGCTTATGAGATAGCCAGGCCGGAGCTCAGTGAATAACTACCTCCGTCACTGAAGTCTCTTGTGATGTGTCTCTTGGGCCGGGACAGAGATATTTTGTCTATCCATGCGTACAAATCTTGCAGTTCCTCTTCGTTCAGTTTTCGGTCCATTTTTCCGAAAACGACATCTGTTTCTGGACACTTTGTAAACTGAGCTAGCTTGCTAGCTTGTCCCGACAACTGGTTGTTTAAAACGTTGCTAGGCTACCGATAGTTGGCAACATAGATTATGGGGACTGGATCTCAAGAACGGAGAAAAAAGACTTAAAACATTGATTCTTTCGATTCACTTTATTATAAGCTTCATCAAACTGACAAAAAAAAGATTTTAATAAATAAGAACGGTTTAAAATAACGTTCAAAAGGAAATCCCACAATCATTTGGCATCAATCAAGGACTAGACTGCTAGTTACAATCAACATGTATCAAGTCAACCTATAAAACAAAACAGCGGCATGTCATAATTCAGTATCACAAAGTCAAGCGTACCCTGGTTAGTACAAAACAATTTCTAGGAAAAGTTATAACTTTTGTGGTTCTTCCTTAATTAAACAATCCGTAAAGTGCCCATGTTGGTGCCATATTTGTATCTATTTAATTTAAATCCCTTTACAACAATATTTCTTAGAAAAGCAGTACCAAAACCAATGTGAGGGAATTGGTATAGGGCCTACAGTTACAGCATCAAAAGTGCAATTGCCTCATACATTGTTCACATATCCAAGGATCAAGAGAGACATTTCCCTTAATAAAAATACAAAAAATCATCATCATGGCAGCTTAGCCATTTGTCGTTTATAAAGCACAGAAGTAGAGTCTGTCAATCACGGCTTCAGGTCATCATTAACATACTGAAGGCTTACATAAGCAAGACACAGACAGTGGTAATCCTCAGGCAGACCATACTTGACAGAAAAGCTCTGTCACTTTGTGTTCTGTGGATCTGGTTTCCACTTTAAAAACAGACGTGATGTGTCTCCTTCAAGGATTTCTAGGTCCTTCTTAGGTGGGACAACAAAAGTGTCCCCTGTCAGAGGATCTCATTGTTTACAGACTGAATAATTCCTCTGTCATCTGGGCCTTTTGGAGGGCATCAGGGCGGCTCTGCCTGCAAGCTAGAAAAACAAATGGTGTTAACAAACATACTGCTGATGAGCTTCTCTCAGTACAACTCAAGATGTCTTTCTCTCTTTGTTTCACGCCTCTTAGTTATTCAGCGGTGGCCCAGAGAAGTGAATATGCTCACTGACTCACTAAACCCGAGTCACTGCTTGTTCATTACACTGCTATGTTGGTCAAATGCCCCAAACCACAGACGTCTTTATAAACGTGAATGCCTTGAATGACTTTAGTAATGTCTGAATACCAACTGCCAGGATTTGGAAGATTTAAGAAAGTGTGGCTCAAATACATACCAGCTGAGTGTGTGGCAGCGGAGAGCGGACTGCAGAGGGCTTCGGCTTCACTGGAGGCATCGGAGGCTTTGGCTTAGAGATCTTAGAGAGCAGATGTACATTTTAAAAAGTGCTGATGGCATGAAGAGTTAAATGTGTGAATGCAAACATGAAGATTTTCAGTGAAATATCATGTCACTTACCGGTTTAGAGGCCAGTGGTGGCAGAGGTCTGGATGGAGGAAGTGGCTTATTCTGAGAAATAAAAAGACAATTCACGTAAACAAACATGAATAAACTATTTTAAAAACCCATTAGTGTCCTTAAAAAGGAATTAAAATTTTTCGAAATGCAACTTACCTCACTGTAGATTGGCTTGCTTGAAACAGGCTGCATAAAGGCCCTCATAACCTTAAGAAACACATTGATGTACTGGTTAAAATACAATACAAAAACTGCAGACTGCAACATTTAATAAAGACAAAACAGATCTGAATACCTGTTGAACCTGTGATGGCTGTGGTACAGCTGACACTTTGGAAGGTGGCTGTAAGGACAAAATGAGAGATGAGTGGAGGCGAAAGCTTGATTTGTCTTTTTCAACCATAATCCTTAATGTTTTTCGTAGCTGCAGTACACCTGTTTATAATTTACATTAGCATCCATGGATCTTATTGGTTGTCAGTGTGTGTCTCAGGCACGATTCAGCAAGCACATGTTTGCAATGACATGGTTATAAGGTGCACACCATAGATGCCACCAATGTAAATATCATGTCTAAATTAGAAGCTAACACAAACAGTGTTGGTGCTAGTGTTGTTGCTCACCACTGGAGCTGCTCTGCTGGGTTTCAGCGCTCCAGTATGTGGTCTGGCAGCAGCAGAGGACAGGGGTTTGCAGGCTTGAGTGGCTGAAGACTCCACAAATGTAGGCTGGCTGATGTGTGTGGACCCGAGGCGAGGGCTGCCTCGTGAACCGCTTGTCTTAAACAACGGGTTAGTTTGTCCAGAGGTAGATTGGAGGCGTCTATAAAGAAATACAAGCTTAAATTAAAGATGAACAACATACACAGTGTTGTACAAAGTAATCTAAAATAGACTAAATGAAAAAAATAACCAAATGTTTTCTGTACCTCTTCGCAGGTCGCCTTCTTTTGATGCAGCATATTAAACTCGCAATAACCAGGACCGACAGCAGGAGCAAACCAACCACCAACACGATGAACACCACCAGACCTGCCTCTGCACACACAAACACACATTGATTGTGACACTATTGCTTTATGCTAAAGGATGAGCATGTAACAGAGTACGTCATTGTCCAGGAAGCAAATGCACTGTAACATCATTACCTCATTTGCACAGACTGGCTGGGGAATTCCATTAAGTACAGTGTTCATCAGAACAGAGCGCAATTGTTTGAGAGTGAATTTTACGTAATAAATCTCAGTTAAAACAGAGCAGAGGAAGACCAGACACAAACAGCCCTGTGTGTGAAGCATGGCCATTGAAGACTTGTTCAATACCTTGAGGGAGTTCTGACTGCTCCACATCACAGGAAGGCGGGGCCCATCCAGGGTCACAGTGGCACTTCCTCTCATGATTACAAACCTGCCGGAGATCAGAGTCACTGTCAGAGTTGCCATTATTGCTATACACAAGGTTGGGTAGTCAAGGATTCAATAAGATTACACAATCAGATAACAATACATTAGCACCTATAATGGTCCCAGACTAAATTCAAGAAAGTTCTAGTTACGATGTCAAAGATTACTTGATAATGTAACTTTTTTTCCCTTCAATGTACGGCCCTTTCGAAATAACGAAACTTTTTGCATTCATACAAAGCACTTCTGACATTCAGGGTGGCCTTTTATTTAAAAGCACAACTTTGTGAAAGTACTGTTTTGTATGGGTAAACACATTTCACCATCTGTAGATACATAATATGCAAATTGCATATTATTTGCATTTGCAAGGTTAGACATTTTTTTTAAGAAACCTTTTGTGGGTGTTGAGTTAATCCAAAAGTATCCCATTTGTATGCAATTTATCTGTAATTACATTACTAATTACAGATCTGCATGTCATTTGAATTTAACTAACTACATTGAATTAGTAATCTGATTTAACCCTGGTTTAACAGCGCTGCAAAGTGTTGTGAGGTCAGCAGATCTCTCACCCCATGGTTGTTGCATTTGGCGGAGCAGTCGCTTGTCCCGTACACTTTTATGCTTGGAATGTCTTGACACCGTTGATTGTAGCACACCTGAAAGACGATGACACCGTTAAAACATCTGGTGTCCACAGAGGTTTGGTGGATGCTCACACCACACCGTTTTCCTACCATGTTAGTGCCACACTTGGTACCAGCAGGCACCATGCCCAGGTCTGCAGGGTAGTTATCTTCAGGGTTCAAAGTTGCCTCGTTGCATATTTCTCCATTTCCCACTTTGTAGAAGGACTTCCTGGATGTGACTGGAAACTCCCAGCCCCCGGTGCAGAAAAGTGTCCCGCAGGATTGATCTCTGTAACCAAAAACCACAAAGCATTGATACCAAAAACCAACAATACCTCACTCTTAATAAACACTCTGATAGTGCTGATTGGATTTTGATTACATACCGGCTTGAACATCTCTGGCTGAACAGCGTCTTTCTGCAGTTTCCATATTGGTTGAAACAAGCATCTGGAGCCACTTTAGCATCTAAACAGAATCATGACAAACAAGTTAGCTGCAGACCTAGGAGTCTTAATTGTCTATATATCCAGTTGTAGAAAGCAACCAAGTACATTGACTGAAGATACTTTTTCCCCGACTTCTTCCTGCTTTAAACTTTTACTGCGCTTTTGACTCCCTTGTGGCCACATTAGTTGCTACTTTCTTTGTAGATTCAGATATAACATTGTGATGTGTCATTATACATTAAGCTACCCGGCTTTAATGAAAGCCCCCCTTGAACAGCTGAAACATAAAGTGATGCTTGCAAAATAATGAATAAAAAGTTGCAATTCAATAAAACAATAAATCATGTATTCTGAAATTGGATAATACTTGCACTTCAACTTGCTACAGAGTATTTCTACAGACTAGAACAAACTATTTTTCACGGGTGTTTTTTACCTGGCCCCCAAAGTCTCCTGCAGTGTTCCTGCTGTGAAGGGCACTGTCCATTGTAGCAGTATCCTCTTCCACGGCTGCAGGACCGACCGTTCTGGGTGAATGCGTCAGTGGGACAGGTGGCAGAGAAGCCAGTGCAGTACTCTGCCAGGTCACAGTCTCCTGTCTTCGCGCGGCAGACGCTGCCTGTCGGCTTCAGCTGCAGAGCGGAGAGAAACACAGATGGGGATGTACCGACTACTGAAATAAGAACACTCACACATAAGCAGCCAGACGGCAGGCTCACAGTGTCTAGCTACATGGTAACACAATAAGTATCAGTGGGACTTCACTCATCGACAATATAGAGGGCATAGTAAGTTTTACTTACTTGGCAGTTGTGGCAGCACTCTCCATGAGCACACTGGGCTCCTGCATTAAATCTGCAGGTGGTGGCATTGCAACAGGAATTCTTGCACTCCTTCAGTGTGAGACAAACAGAATATTACGATACATTCTACTTTTTGTGCTTTGATTATGTTACTGTGTGTATCCTAGAAATGGGACCAAGTCTCAAATCTTTGTATTCAAGTCCCAATGCAATTTTTAATAACATTTTCGACAGCACATTTTGCATACTGTAATTCATTTTGAGTATGAACTCAAACAAATGATCTTTGGCATTCTTTTTCAAACTGGCAGTAATGTAACTTTTGTAAAAGTTTGTCATGATTGTCTCCTTCAACTAAATTAGATGCTGTCAAATTAGTTGAAGAGAATTAAGTATTGACTTCCTGGGACTTAATAAGAGTTAACTTAAGTTTAATCAGGAAATGATGAAAAATCCTGAATATATTTGAAATAACATACATTTAATCTTTGGGCTCAGGTAAAAGTATCAAGTCCAATTAAAGTCACAAGTCATTAGTGTTAAAGCCACATTAAGTGTTTTTATTATTATTTTGTCAAGACAAGTGTGAAGTCATTACATTTGGGACTGTAGTGTTACTTATGTGATTCGAGTCAACACCTCTGGTTTATACACTATTTGAGCGTGCCATGCACAAACCTCTGCAGTGCCACAGTCACACTCCTCTCCCAGCTCCAGGAAGGCATTTCCACACACTGGCCCTCCATAGACGCGCTCAGTAGAGGGAGTGTCCAGCAGACAGGCAGGGTTCACCTCCTCCAAGAACCTGCTGAGCTGCTGCTGACTGCAGCTGCTGAACCGCTCAGGATACACAAGGCTAAAGGGATGCAGGATCAAGAAAAAAAGTGAATACAAGCTTTAACTTGGGTTTATACAATGGTGGATTTGAGGCAGTTTATCTGCAAGCAAGCTTACCCGACACTCTCGGACATGATGCAGCCTTTTTTTGATGTTAAAGAGCCGCACACACAGTTTTCAGAATCATGGGACAAGCCCAGGTTGTGACCCATCTCATGGGCTATAGTAGAGGCCACTCCTATTGAGTTGGTGTTATGGTCCTGAGTGTGAAGTAGAGTCAAAACCAAGATTAACATCACACAACTCCCATTCGTTTTCTTTATATTTTTACACAGGAATGTAGTATAATCACCTCATTGACAGCTCCAGAGTTAGAGGTGCACATTGCGTTGGTGTTGGCTAATCCCACAGTGGAGCCATCAAAATCCACACCTCTGAGTGAAGAACAGGACAAACGTTTAGATGGCAGCCAGCTCTAACAGCTCAACACATCATCTTGGCATTGTCTTTTCAGTTGGCAGCTAGAGCATGAAACCTTGGAGGGACTAAATTCTCCTGTTAGCATTACTGTGTATGTGTGTTAAAATCAAAAGAGGATTAAAAACCCATCATTTCGAGTCTGCTCATTCTTACGTGATGAACTGTGCGTTGTCGTGTTTGGTCCTCGGCAGAAGGCTCCTCTGACGCCACTCGAGGAAGCGAGCGAGTGTATGCTCCGGGTTAGTGCTGACCTCCATCTGATCTTTGTATGACCAGATCTCCAGAGCCACCAGCATCACACGGACACCCACTGGGCGATACAGCTGAAACACAGCAGCATGTTAACACCAACTGGAACGCAACCAAAAACTGAATGAAATGTTCAGAACAGTATTTTAGAACACAAAAGATTATACAATGCTACAAATCACAGAACCAAAGGCCTCATCGGTCCCAGTAAACACCTGTTGGGTCTAGTGCTGTCTGATGCTTGCACTTCTCTTTCAGAGTATGCAATGAGGATTGGGAGAAATGTGTGAAGCACAACAGCTTTGGTGTGAAGATTCACAGTTAAAGTTAGATTTTCACAGAGAGAGAACTATCCCTTTGCTATTATTGGTCAGATTCCAGTCAGTGAGGAACACATAGTATCAGGACAGACTTCTGGTGTTTAATACACAATGAAAATGAAGGGTCCAGAAACGTGGCAGCTCTGCATTGTGATAAAGATGTTGAAGGTCTTTTCTTTTACTAATATAAATACAAATAATTGCTGGAACAATTGGATGGGTACTTAGTCCGAGGTCAGAGAAAGTTAAAAAGAAGTAAGCTTTTACACTAATGTTTACTTTAGAATGGCCCTGGTCATTTATTTAATCCGATCAGTGCTTTTTGTTTAACAGAGCAAAAACATGATAAGGTTGAATCATTTATAGTGATAGACAACAGAGAAACAAACTTACCTTGTCTACATGGTTTGTTATTTCAAGCGCTCTAGCCTGAATGGTCTTCTTACTGCCAAACTTCTTATACTAAAAAAAAAAATGTTTCTATTAGTAAAACGATCATTATCTTTGGCTACATCTGCAATAACAGGGTCAGTCGGAGAAAGGAAATATATCAAACCTCTGTGTGGTCGACCACCACCACCAGCTCCACTGTCCGGGGTTTCCCTGAACGATCTTTGGTCTGGGCTCTGCTTCTCTGCAGGCACAAAGGATGGATGATATTAACAACATTAAAAGAGTCGGAACGCTTTTTATATGAATACAATTTATTGGAATTAGTTTATTTGTAAAGAAACTCTCGAAACTGATAAATAATTAGGAAATAGTATAAACAAAAATATTCAAACTGTGGAATGTGTTAATTATCCTGATGCAAAAGTACTGCATGACACAAAATGATTCTTATGAATATTGTCTCTGTGTCTCTTCTTCTTTTCAATGTTTACTTAATTTCCCTATAGTTATTTCCTTTTTGCGTCTTAATTTGTTGTAAACAACTAATTGTTAATGTGGAGTTTAAACAACTTTGTATACATCTAAATATTTGTGTTGGTTCTCATATTGTAAAACTTTTAAAAAATCAATGGAAGAGTGTTGTATTACACTAACAGAGCTATAGCAAAGTAGTATTTTATGGTCAATGCTTTTTTGTTATGCTTTTTTCCCTCAAAATTGCATAATGTAAGAACGATACACAAAATATTGGATATCAGCTGTCGGCTTCAAGCCCTGGAGTATTTCTGTATGTGTGTACTCTGTGTGTCTTTACCAGGCTGCTGAGCTGGAACAGTCCAGACGGACGAGCTCCATGATCATAGAAAGTGGTTGTGTTTCCATGGGAACAGGAGCTTCTCTTCCTCCTCAGGTGTTTGTAGTTGTAGACAGCATGAAGACCCTCGTCACTGTGAGTCTGGGAGCTCTGTCTGTCGTCCTGCTGTACAACCTTGGCGCCGGCCAAAGGTTCGATGAGATGCATTTGGTCCTGGAGACGCAAAAACCCCCTGTAGTGCAGAGCAGGAAGTTCTTAGAGACTCAAAAAGCAGTTTTTCTTTTTCTACAGGATCTCTAATTCTCAAACAGATCTCAGTGCAACTGACTACAAGACATGTGTTTGTTTATCAAGCTTTCAAGTGTCCACAGATACTGACACTAATAGACATGTATTTTATAGCAAGACTTTGTTGATTGAGTTACAGATGCAGAGCTACACGGTGCAGTCTTAATGGTCTTTGTAATAGGAGAAATGGACGATGAGGGACTGATCCCCTCTTTTGATTGGACACTGTTTGTGATAAGTCAAATCATCATGGGCTTGATTAAGTGTTGCACAGTACTCCAAAAAACGATAACTTTGTTTTAATGAGAGATAACAAAAAAATGACATCCAGCAATACTCACTTTATTCCTGAGCATAGTTCTACACTGGCAGAGGAGTCCTCTACTCCCACTATGTGCCCATGGTAGTAGCAGTGAACCTGAACAGACAGCAGTTATTCATCAGAGACAAGAGGAGAGATTTAAGTCACACTTTTTCTTCCATAAGCACAATGCGAAATTGGAAGATATTGTGCGATGTGTGTCATGGTCAGATGCAATGTCTTGTGAAATGTCTTAACCATATACGTAAATTCCTCTTCCACATTGGACTCAAGCATTTCAGTGGATTGTGTCACCTCTTATAAAAAGGACATTTGAAGTTGGGAAACTTCCTTTTATCAAGACATCGGAAATGTCCTAATAAGAAGTTACTGGCAGGTCTATAATGCCACTAACTTGATAGATGAAGAAAATTAGATATGAACTTACTAATTTGTGGGGGTTACTTGACAATTAGCTTAATATATTTGGGAAATACTGTAACCAAAATTGAAGGAATACTTGCATTTGACATTTTCTTGGACCCTGTTTCTTATATTTAACAGTTCAACAATGTAAAGAACAAAAAAACAAAAAAACACAGGAAAGCTAACGTAACAACTGAAACTGGCAGAGCAGGTGTCACAGGATATCCTACACGTAACTGTCTCACGCCTGTACAGTAAAAAAAAGATTTGTGGTAGTATTACACCAGCCTTGTTTCAGACCGCTGAATCGCCCACATCTTAATTTATTCAACGATTTCAACAGAATGAATAGAGTGGAGAAAAAAAGGACGCCTGATTAACAGGCTAAGTGCTACACTAGGTTGGTACTCAGCTTTCATTTGAAGCTAACAAGCACAGGCATGTGTTTCAGATGTAACACATCATAATGCAAGCATGATGACATTGATTATTTTATAGTGAAATTGTAATGAAACAATGTTAAGCAACATACCCTCAGATCTGGAGTAGTTGTGACTTGGTTGCCCTGATCAGAATAGTGTGTCACAGAAAAGTTTTCCCCGACAAGATCTCTGAAAAGTACAGAGTTTTTTTTTTATGGCAACAGTATTTACACATCAAGAAAGAAAAAATACAGAAAAAACACACTTTTCCAACAACATTTTAGTTTTTCTCACTTGTTCTTTTCCAGATGCAAAGTGTAGTTTTTCCCTGCTATCGTCAAAGAGTACTGGAGCACATCAGGGTATGTCTATACACATACCCATACACACACACACACACACACACACACACACACACACACACACACACACACACACACACACACACACACACACACACACACACACACACACAGAAAAAGATACTTTAAGACATTCTTAAAACGTGTGTTCAAACTTTAAATATTGTTTTAATTTCTTAACAAATATATATCAAAAGTTGTACTGTAGAGTGCGGGTTACCTGATGTTTAGCAGCTTCATTACTGAGAGATGAATCCTTTATTCTCTGAGGTATCACAGTTTGGTACTTCATCACATGAGGGAGAGTCCTCACGCTGTCCGCTATTATTCCTGCAAGTACCAGGGAGAGGCTATTTAATGAGACAAAAAAACAAGAAAGAACAACGAAAAAACAAACAAGAAAAAGCAATAATAGCAAAGACAAAAAAGAAAGAAAACTCGTACCCCACGAGGAGAAGAAAATCCATATGAAATATCCAGAATATTGCATGTTGCTCTACCGGACGGACTCTGTCATTGTGAGCTGGAGTCTGAGGGAATTAGGCTCTCAGCTCTCCGCCCCTCTCTGCTGTGTAATATCCTGAAAATTACCATTTGAGGTTGACAAACCACATGAGTCACTATCCGAGCTTTACAAAAGTCCAACGTTGTTCTTTACAACATTTATATAAATTGTGTAAGGTGCTGATCCAATGTTTAGGTTACAGACATGATTTTTGCCGGAAATTAAGCTGTAGTGATGAACATCGGTTAGAAATGGGTGGAAGTTTTCCAGTGAAAAAAGACAGTCGGCTCAGCCTTAAAGTTCCCCTCCTTGGTTTTGAAGTTTCTACGTGGCTATGGGGATTTTTTTAAGTGTATCTTTAACTCAGGATTTGATTTTCCCATTTACCACTAGTAGGTTAAAGTTACACATATATTTATTTAAATGTGAACTAGATTACAACTTAAGTAGGCTTTCCACTGAATGTAGAAATACTTTGCTGGCAGATTTATAGGGAAAAACATAGGAAACTTCTTATTTATTAAAATATCTTCAGTAGCCAACTCAATATATTGACAGCAGAACCAGCGCCATATATATATAGAATCTATCTATACCTATGGCGCTGAGCAGAACATAGCGAAGTATAATAGTAAACCCTTCAAAGCCCATTAGTGGACTTTGTCGCCACCTACTGGAGAGATGGCGGAACAATGTCAGATTTTATTTATCGAAAGCTGTTTTCTCAAATTATTATTTTTTAAATTTAAATTAAAAAAGTCCCAGACAGCGGCTTCAACAATAACATTATTTTTTCAGCGATAAATATGTCGCTTCTGTAGGCTACTAATAATGTCGCTCCGGTAGGCTATAATTCAGAGAGGAACAATATTAATGTCACTCTTTTTAAATATAAAAAACCTGAAAAACATTTACTTAACGTGGGGCAGCAAACGTTTCTGATAATTACATGTACATTCAACGTTACACAGGAATATTTACAGTGTCAGTAAGAATATAAACTAAATAGATAATGCATTCAAATATGTTGACGCATGGCGAATGAACCCTTAACCTTGCAAAGTTATATTTTTTGTGGAGCATTATACCACACGCATTAAATCAAATATCCCGCATCTTGAGGCTGATTCTGGCCAGTTGATGGCGACAACGCACCATTTTGGATTTGACAACCGTCAAAATACTAGATGACGTCGTCATTCCGCGACAACTACAACCAAAACATAAAAACTCTTCACATTCACTGCAGCTTTTTACAGACGTTTCAAAAAACGATGCTGCAGCCAGACTTGGTACGACTTCTGACAGAGGGACATGTTTTAGTAAAGAGCTGCGATGAAGACTGTCTGACAGGAAACACTCAGGAGCCGAGGCAGAGTGAGGGAGAAGAGGGTGAGGAGGGAAACCCGTTCAACTTCACCCCTCAGCTGATACACCTGAACAAGGACCACCAGCTGTTTGAGGTAACATAGCAACAACTAAATGAACCGTACTCATTCTGCTGAAGCACATATATAACCGTGGCTACAACATTAGCTAGCTTACCTTTTCAGCATAACTCACTGCTGCTGAATGGTTTTACAGGATGGGGACATTCACAGACACATGTACCTGCAAGACCTCTACATCTCAGAGGCTGAGGACAAGCCAACACTCAGGTATGCAAAGAAAACCAAGGTTAGCTTTGGTAAAAATATGAGCTTGTGTGTGACTGTGGTTAACAAACAACAAACACAACTATTTTGTATGTATTTATTTGTATTGAACAAGGGCCATCTATCAACATACATTAATCTCAAAAGAAGAAGAGAAGCTATATGCCAGATTATATAATGTACACACATTAAAACCAACAACCAATAAAACACTTCCTAGTGTCTATCACACTAACAATTCCAACTAATGAAAAAACAGATGTATCAAATATAAATACTGCTACATTTATTATTTAGGCCATTTAATTTCAGGGAGGATAGCGTAGGAACTTAACTTTAAAGCAACAACAAATGAGGAAATACAAGTAAATAAAGATGCATGCGAGGTTAACTTTACAAACACCCAAAACACATGGGGTTAGGAAACAAATACATAAAAACAACAGTTAGCTTACGTGATAAGATACAGGTATCTCCAGAAATTAGAACAATGTAACAGCCGTGTACAAATGTGCCCCAGGAATGATATTCCTTAACTTACAAATGTGGATTGTATTTTCAGTGTGGGTCTGACTGTAAGTCACCAGCCTCCTCTTGTTATCTTTTCTCAGTGTTTCAGAGTTTGCCTGTCACATATCGGGCTGCAGTGCAATCTTCAGCACTTTGGAGGATTATGAGCACCACTACAACTCCCTTCACAGACACGTGTGCTGCTCCTGCCGCCGCTCCCTGCCAAGTGCCCGGCTCCTAGACATTCACATTCAGGAGTGGCACGACTCTCTCTTCACTATCCTTTCTCAGAGGCAAGATATGGTAAGCAAAAGTCTGCGGTTGTGTCCTTTCCCATGACACCTTATTATCTTGCTCTTAAACTATAAGCATAACCCTCTAACATTATTTGAAAATGAACACTGAGTCTTTAAAGTTTTACATGACACTTCCTTTACATTTTTCAGTTCCAGTGTTTGGTGGAGGGCTGTGGACAGAAGTTTAGCACTAGTAAACACAGGAAGGACCACCTAATCAAAATTCACAAGTATCCTCCTGACTTCAGATTTGACAAAACCAAAAAGGACAAAAGGTAAGAATGCATATTTTCTCCATTAGATGGCAGCAAAACCTCAGTAAAAAATACTTTTCTATGCAAGTTTTCGGTCTTGGAGAGTCAGTGTTTATTGATGTAAACAGGATTCATGCCTCTTTATAAAATGTCTTGAGTTGAAGCAATGTGTCTTTTTTCAATCAGCTATTTCATATTTTTATTTAAACATAATATGATAAGGCAAGTTTTGTTGCAAGAATTGTTGTTTAACACCATTTTTTACAAAAATAAGTAAACCAGTGTTAAATCACTATAATTGTATTTAAATAAATGTTTTGCGTATATTCTTAATTCATGTCTTTGTTAATAGAAACCGGCAGACGAAGAAACAGCCGCAGAAAGACTCAACCATGGACGTCATGGACGATGTGTGTGAGTCTGAGGGTGTGTGTGAGGTTATGTGTGATGGTCTGTCCCACCAACCTGAGCAGGGAGAATCCATGGAGACGCATGGGTCAGAGGAAGAAGCTGCTTGCATGGCGAAGTCGGCCTCTACTGCAGAGCATGCTGATCTTAATGCTGCAGCTCCCAGCACAGAGAGTTCAAGCAGCAACCCACTGAAACCAGGATACTCCTACAGGTTAGTCTTTAACAAGTCTGCAAAGCACTGGATGTCACAGGCAGCTTTTGGCTGCAATAAGGGAGGCTTACATTCAGCCATTTTTAAGATGTTTTAATGTTAACTTTCAAGGTGCAATTATGTAGTTAAATTAAGGTTTAGCAAACTGCAGAAAGAGATCTTTGTCTTATTTAAACACAATATTATATAATTAAAATGTATGAATTTAAATCCTGCTAATATTCTCCAGAGTATTTAAATGACAGAAGATCTGAGGCAGCCGTGTTTTTGTCTCCCAGGGTCCCCACAAATGTGTGTTTTGGTCACGGCTCCGTCCGGGGCTTCAGAGGGCGGCGTGGAAGGAGGAAATAAACCAATAGAATTCTGCTTTCTGTTCTATGAATATAAATAACTTTATACACTTGTCATGTAACACAATATATTTACTGTCATATGGGACGCTGACTTCAAATAAAATGTTTTTTACAACAAATATTTGATGTGTATATATATTCATTCAGGTAATAAGCAGCGCTGCAAGGCAATGCTTAAATGACAAATTATATGGACAAATTGCAAGAGAAAAAATTACAGATGGCAGAATTTACATAAAAGATTTTAATAATTGTACAAAACATCATCACCCATCAGATATAAAATACACTGTACATTCATTTAGCATTTTTGAATGTTTGCAAAAATAGCTGATGACTTTTATTTACATTTTAGTAATGAAACAGGACTTTTAAGAGCTCTTTGAACACCTGTGCAAAAAAGTTTTCCTTTTGAGGTACTGTAAATACAATTAAATAACATTAATTTTATAGCTGATTTATATTTTTGAAACAGAAAATTGTTAAGAACTTAGAAACTAACGGGAATTAAGTTGTTTACATTCTCGTTGAAAGCTCTCATGGTTCAAATAAAAAAAATAAAAAGAATAAAGTAATGCCAAAGATATACATATTTTTAAATAAGGAAAAGGTTCCTTCTAAACTTTTGACTTCATTACAAAAGTGATGAAAAGGCACTAAGGAGCACTCCAGGGGGGTTTCATGATGGGTCTCATTATTGATTATATGGATGTTCTTTTAGAATAATGTTCTTTAATTTATTTTCTTAATTTCTTCTTTATATTCTCTGGTCGTATGTTAACGTACAATCAAAGGCCTCGGGAATGTAGGTAAAAAGTGCTTTAAAAAAGCACTTATTGCTTAAAACCACAAAACGTCAGGGTTTTAAATAGTTGTGTAATCTCTTTAAAATTACTGACTTAAATATTTACGGAATAGAAAACCTTAAAACATATGAAGTTTGAATATGGAGCCCGAGAAAAATAAACTCAGTGAGTCTGCGTTATAAAATAAAAGATAATACCAAATGCACTGCAAATAAAAATGTTAACACATGCTTAACTGTTGACAGAAAAGTAACTTAGCCTATTATAAAGATGTGTTTTAAAAATGCCAATGGAGTGAAAATATCCCACTTATTTCCGTTTCGCGTGTTTCTAAGGCCTAAATGAAGGACTAGTGGCCGAGATTGTTCTACCAGTATTTTTGTGTACAAAAAATATTACATTTTTCCTTATAACGAAAATATCATATGCTTGTTCGAATAGGATTCACGACAGGTTGACTCATGGGATGGATTTTTTGCAGTGTTGGTCATTTGCTGTATCAAGGCGTTTTTTATAGAAGCTTTCCAGACGATGAAAGTTAGTGAGGGTTAAGACAAGTAGTACATCCCATATGGTCCACCGAATAGTCCCGGGACGGGGAATGCCGGCCGGGGTCCGGTCAGAGCCCCGTAGAGGGACGGAGCACCCATGGGGCCCAGGGGGAAGGGGAAGCTGAAGGCCGGCAGCAGCGGCTTCGCGACCAGCTTGAATTTATCCAGGTCGGCCTCCTGCAACCTCTTGGCCTTGGCCCTGCGGTTCTGAAACCAGATCTTGACCTGGGTCTCTGTGAGGCTGAGGGAGCAGGAGAACTCCGCTCTCTCTGCGATGGACAGGTACTGTTTCTGACGGAACTTCCTCTCCAGAGACAGCAGCTGAGAGGTTGTGAAGGGAGTTCTGGGTTTCCTGTTGTTCTTGTGTTTACGTAGATTGCACGATGAGGGGCTGGGAAGTCCTGAAAGTGTGGATATAGAGAGTCAGATTATTAGTGCAAATAAAAATAAATGATCGATATGACTAAAAAGGGACTTTATAGCTTTACTTCATGCATGGGTGTCAAGCCATTTCATTCACAGAATATTTAGGCTGCAGAAGCTGTTATTTGAAGCCTTTTAAATGTAATAGTATTTCCATCACCTTTTAGTTATAGAGACATATAGATTATGAAGTGGCTTCTTACATTGAGTTTTCTCATCCGTGCACTATTGTAAAAAGACATTGGTTATGGATTAATTTGTATAGGTCAACATTCACTGTCGTATTTCGTGCAAGGTTAGTGATAAAGGATATCCATAGAAAGATTTTGACAGTTTCAAAGGTGAAAGATATTTGTTTCTCATATTTTAGAAAAAAAGTGTATCCTACACTCACTTGAAGGGGACGCGTAAGGAGTCTGCAACCAGGGGTTCGTTTCCTTGTCGCTGAGGTCCACAGCCTCGGGTTTGGAGCGGTACAGTCCGCTGGGTGACGCACACTCGGTCTCCTCTGCTGAACCATGTTTTGGGGAGTGGAGTCTCCTGTCCGGCGTCCTGTCTGATATGAGGGACTCCACACTGAAAGGCAGATCTAAGCCTTTTGTTTTACACCTTCTGACAGATGACAGGTCCAGCTCGTCGGCCCCTGTGCCTCCAGCGGCTCGGTCCTCCGGTGAGGTCTCCCCCAGAGCAGCCGAGGGCGGTGATCCCTGCTCAGGATTCATTACGCACGACTGAGGTGCCATACAACCAAATATCCTGCCGCTCGCCCCGTTGCTGTTTTTCTTTTTGCGTTTTCACTCCCACAAATCTGTTATCTCCCAGGTTGCTCCAATGTTGCGCAGTAGCGTTAAACTTCAGCTTTTACGCACGGACTTGTTTCTCCTTCAGTGAGTGAAGTGCCATGAGTTGCACTCTCATCTTTCCGCCTGCCTATCAGTCTGTCCATGTTCCCACGTGACGCAGCTAAAACTGTTTCTGATAGGCCAGGCTTGTAATGACAGTGTTGTGGTCCACTTCTTGTGCCTGTGGTGCCTTTACAGATGTAAACCTCTGATCAGGGGCGGGGCGCAGAATTATGACTCCCTCCCATGTTTTGCTGTTGTCCCCCCTCAGCTACATCAGCTCCCTCTCTGATGCTCTGGCATAATTTAATGTAACTTTTAAGATAAAATCATCACTGCATGGATATATTTACATTTATTTAGCACACACTTCTTTGCTAGCTTCCAGTATTGCCTGAAACATTTTGTTAAATATTGACCGTGTAATTATACACCTTACTATCTGGTCAGAATAGTGATGCATTTAGCAGCTAAAGAAACAGATATTTCCTTTAATATATTTTCTGTGGAGACCACAATCTGAGCAAGCATTACTCCAAATGCATGCTGTTGTTGCTTTGCGGCTTAAGAAAGTGGACATTGGCAACTGTTTGCTAAGACTTTATAAGGCAAAGATATGTTGATAAGTGTTAACAGCTTGTCACTGCCCCCGAAGGGCCACATAAATAAAATAATGAAAACAGTTACAAAATAGACACACAAAGAGTCAGTTGCAAAAACGTTTAATGTTTTTAAATGTTTTGTTATGAGACCAAAAGTGCTTTAACTTGTTGTAGGACCCGGTCTGAAAGGTTGGATTTACATGTTACAACACTTTATCACAGTGTTTCATTAAAACAGTAAGACAATCCGGGCTTTAATTCACCGGATTTTGAATATACTCTTCAGAGTTACTGTCACTATAAATAACATATCATGTGGTCTGTAATCAAATTATCTATGGCTGTGTATTGCCCATACTTCATCCTATTGTGTTCATTGTCTGTAACCCCTTTGTGAGACAGTAAAACCCCAAATAATGTTGCAGAGGCCCATTGAAGAGGCCCTTCCAAATTGGCCTTGTTTTGTAGCTCTTCAAATCAAGTCAAATTATTTTCAGTGAAACCCAATATGTGAGAGTTTCTTTTCTCTTATGGGAACTGTTGTTGGGCCTGCAGCAGCACACTGACTGACTGTCTGTAGGACAATTGGTTAAATGGAGTTAACTGTTTCTCTCCCTGAGGTACATTTCTGCTTTGATCCTGCTGCGACTGGCGCCTGTCTGCTCTCTCTCCCCCTCTCCCTCTCTGTGTGACAGTGATAGATCGCTGGGTAACTATACAAGCTTTCAATGACTGTAATTTAGTGCCCAACAACATTACATTCTCCTCTACTTACTGAGAATATTACCACTCTCACTATTCTCCTGTTTGAAAAGTGATGTAAGGCGGTGTGTTCCTTTTCAATTGTTTTATAATGAACGAGTAAATTAGATATCCTTCTTCTCTCTGAGTAGCATGCACATGCAAGAAGAGTACAATGAGTATTTTGGTTTAAGAACCTATTTATTCACTTTATAGTGCATTAGGTGTGCTACAGCTTTATCTCTTTGTCTATGTCTCGCTGTCTGTGCAGTACTTTTTTATTGCAAATCAACAAAATATATATATATTTCAAAATTGAAAGACAGTTTATCCTGAAAATGTTGTGCCTCACTTAAAAAGTGAAAATGTTGACCTGTTGCTGGTGCTCGTTTAGGGATACAAAAAAAAAAGGAGGAAAAAAAGCCACATATTTTGACAGGAGGCCAGGGGCCAACTAATAAAAAACAACATGAATTTTGGGGGTAAGCCTGAGCCTCTGTCTCTATCTATGATTTTTCTTTTTAGCCTGTCACTTTATTTACATTTTAAGTTGAACAAAAAATCCCATTGTGAATTAGAAAGTGTTCAGGGACACCCCCAACAGCACACTAATTGAATTGAATGGCAATTCCTCCAATAGTAGACAAGCATTTAGTAAATAACAAAATGTTGCATGCTGGCACGTGAGGAAAAGTCAGTGGGTTAGTATTAAGGAGTCATCCTCATTCAGCATGACTCTGTGTACAATGGTATTGCAATCCATCCAAAGTTAAATCTTAAAAATCGGGGGAGCGTCAGACCAATGTCCTCATATTAAAAGCTAAAAAAGACCAGTGTTAAACAACAATAGTAATATTGAAATGTAAAAAAAAAGATAGATGGATACATTTGATAAAGAAAGATGGAAAGAATGTTTCAATATGTTTTAAGTTCTGGGAAAATATTCATACTGTCATTCTTCAGTTTATTATTTTGTCTGCCTCACGACTTCAACTATCTCTCTCTCTCTCTCTCTCTCTCTCTCTCTCTCTCTCTCTCTCTCTCTCTCTCTCTCTCTCTTGCCCACTCTCAAAAGTGGAGAACTGTTTAAGGAGGTAATTGTGGTTTCCAAAAGAGTTTTCTTTCAAACCAAACATGTTGAAGCAGGCTTTATATATTTCAGTTTTTGTAATCTTTCTCTTTGATGAGAGCTGGCAGGGTTTACAGCAATCCTAAGCAAACTTTGGGAGGGGGGGCTGGAGTCATGTGGGATAAACATTTATGAAACACACAGCGGGGAACTTTGCGGTGAAAGTGTATCGTCTTCAAAAGAGAAGGGAGGCCTACTCGGTGAAGCATAACAGAACATTATCCTGTGTCTGAGTGGACCTGCCAACATTAGTATGTTCAAACGTCAATGGATCACAAACTTTTCCTTTTCATGACATTTCCAATAAATCACACTTTCTAAGAATTATCTTTATCTTCACAGACCAAATGAAGGGTTGATTTCCATACGCACAAGTATTACCGTTCTGTCCATTATGACCAAGTCAGCTTTGCCTTTGCCCTTAAATCGGTTTCTCGTCTTGAATTACCAGTAACAGTAAGTCTGAATTCGAAATGTAAATCACCAAAAACATTTATTTACATTTTAAAGCTGTCCACATCCTCTTTTTAATACAAAGCTGGATTTCAATCACACTCAAATTGGGTCTCCCAAGAATCAAATGTAGTTTATACCTTTACAACATTATTGAGGAAAACAACTTTTTATATACTTCAAATAAACTTTAATTTGCTGGCATCTTATGATGATGTGGCAGAATCAAGAGGTCGCAGTGATGAAAATGAAGAGAGCGCAGACCAGGCCTTTTCTATAAGCAAAAATAATTTAAACCGTAACTATAGCTAATTCAGATCTGCTCCAAATTGGTTCTTCATTCTTCCTTTCTCCAAGTTGCATGAACATGGGCCATTGGTTTTTAATACTGCTGAAAAAATGTTTAGCTCAAAATTCCCTAGCAAAATAAGCATTTGTTCGTTATGACATGACAACCAAGTATGAAAGAACACATCTGAAGAAGAAACTGTTACAAACACAATAATTGTATGAATTGCAGTGGCATACAGTCACTCCTGGAAGGAAATCATGTTTCTGCACTTGTTTGTACAACATATGTTTAGGTTAAATTAAGGCTATTGAAACTCAGAATACAGATGTTCTTTAGCCATTACCTTGAAAACTAGCATTAGCTGAGGTTGTCTGCTTGAAGCTTTCGTTGTGAGGATGATAGGTCAGTCATTTTCCTCCTTTCGGAGGACATGCAGGAGAGCAGATGATGCTTAAGACCTTTGTAATTATGTGATGGGTTGTTGATTGGTCAAGTGCTTTTCATTTATCCTCTATATGTTAGCATGACTTGGCTGCCAGCGTTGACAGGCAAGCAGCGAGCGGGTTATTATGCCTCTGTGTGTTTTGTATGTAGGATATTGAATTTGGTGACAGGAAGGCGCGTTCCACATGGCGTCTGACAGAGTGACAGTGTTTGGCTGATGGCGACTCGGCAGTGAGTCCTGCACGCAGTGCCAGGTGCTAACAGGTGAACACAGAGATATTGTGGCTGTATTGTCGCGGTTTGGTTACGGGAGGGGGGGGACAAAGGGAACCGGACACCCTCTCTGGACCTGGAGCGAGCCAGGGGTTGGGGTGAGCTCTGTGACAGTGCTGACAGTAGTGGGGAACTCGGATAGAAGCCTGCACTCTGCGATGATAACAACTCTGATGATGATGTTAGAGAATGACCCACAGAGGATAGGGATGTTAAATTATCATACGCTCTTTATTGTCTCGCCATGATAGCAGATGTAGGCGTCTTTAGTATGAGAGTGATGACAGCTGAGGAGCAGAGGACATCACAGAGAAACCTGACACACACACACACACACACACACACACACACACACACACACACACACACACACACACACACACACACACACACACACACTCTATGAGGTACAGCTAACCCATGCAGTGTCTGAGTCTTGAAATATAGAGAAGCTAAACTGTAAACCAAACAAGTCTCTGAGTGTAACAAGAGCAGCATTCCTGTGGGTCACAGCGGGACAGTGGGGCCTTGCAGTATTAGTAGATATTCTGTGGTCAAATGAATGACTGGAGAATGTTACCACAGCCTATAATAATGTATCTTCTACAGCCATTCTGTTTCTTTTCTGTTCAAATTCCTATATCAATAGGGAATTACATCCCACAAATGTCTGTGTCACAGAGTCAGTTCCTCAATGAATTGCAGAGGTCAGAGCAAAGCACACTGGGAGACGGGACTGAACACAGTTTGGTGTTGGCTCACTGGGAGCTGAGAAAAGAGCACAGATCTGATTCAAGCTGTTTGTGACAGCTGTTGCCGATTGACTCTTTGCAAATTAGGTTAAACATTTCCCGACAATATTACAATTGACTTCACTGAAACCACCCAAATGATGGCAGCTGCACTGCAACATGCTGTGACAATTTAAACTGCGACAAATCACACAGCAGCACCTGTTAGGAAATGACTGGGCCACTGAGACACTCAATTCTATCTAGCAAACCTAAGACCAGGGTAGGTGGAAAATTGTGCATAACATTCTTCCTTTATTCATTCAGGGTGGCATTAAAAAAAGTCTTAAAAAGTCTTAAATCTAACTTGGCTTAAGCTGTAGAACCCCGACTTCGACTT